TTGGCAGTTTTCATTAAAGCTGTATGTAAAAGGACGCTACTGCAGCTCTTCTCGACTGTTTCTTCTTTTATCTGCTCTTTTCCTTTCCCACTTGGCGAGATCTGGCTCTGGGTCTTTCTGCGCCTCTGTCCAGCGCTAGCCCGGGGCGCCCGCATGGATGGTGCCGTTCGCCTCCTCCCGCGGCACAGCTCAGCTCAGCGTGGGCTGCAGGTTTCTTCCGGAAGCCTGGACTCCTCCACCACCTGCAGGCCTTTGCAGTGTCCTCACGGACCTGCCCCCATCCGTCGGAGGGTACAGAGTGAACGCTATGTTTCTCTCTCAGCGCCCTGGAAGAGGGCGAGACAACCTCCCTGCCAACGCGAAGGTGCACGGAATGCCTTTCACAGATACTGCCTCGGTCCGAAGTCCCAAAAGGACCGAACTTCATTTTGGCTGCTGTAGTTCCAGAGGGGGCTGCAAAAGGGAAGAGCCTAAACTTCTGATATAAAACACAATCTGGGGGCCGGGGATGTAGCTCAGTAGCAACTCGCCTGACTCGCAAACGCAAGGTCCTGAGTTCGATCCCCGGTAACGGAAAAAGAATAAAATAAAACAATCTGGATTTAATGAAGACACACATATCAACTATATACAAACAACTAATTATCTACAGATAATTCAGAAAATGTCAAAAACACCTCAGAGAGCCGGGCATGGTGACGCACGCCTGTAACCCCAGCACTCGGGAGTCTGAGCCAGGAGGATCCTTGAGAGTTCAAGGCCAGCCTGGGCTTCACAGCAAGGCCCTGTCTCAGAAAACTGAACAAAAAGAGAGGCAGGGAGCCTGAATCACCACTGTTCATAGAGGGTTGTTGTGGGTTTTTTGTCGGTTTAGAGAAACCCCTAAACCCCGTTCCCCTTACACCTATGTATGACGTTCTGCGCAGCACCGCCCCCTGACGTCACGGGCAAAAAATTGTGTCATTAATAGAATCAGGCATACTTTTAAAATTAAAAACAAAGCACGTCTTTTGAAGAAAAAAAAATTTAAATTAAAATAAAAATACCTAGGAGACATGTTTTGTTTGTGACATTGAGTATTGAGCCCAGGCCCATTGCACTGAGCTCAGCCCTATCTTTCACTCTGAGAGGGCCTCACTAGGTCACTGAGCAGCCCGGCCCGGACTTGAACTCGCACTTGCCTGCCTCAGCCGGCAGAGTGCTGGGGCTACAGGTGTGGGCCGCCTGGCCGGCTGAGTTTCTTTGGGGGCAGACGTGATCCTGCTCATAAGAACTTCCACAGAGCAGCCCTCACCAGCAGTGGGGAGACTCCCAGTTTCTGGGCCTGGTCTTTCTCGGGGATCCAAATCAGGACTTCGAGCATGCCAGGCAGGCGCGGTGCCGCTGAGCACAGCCCGCCCGGCACGGTCTTTTCACAAGGAGACGCTGGGCATAGGCAGCTTCACCCTAACCTCCCTTGGTTCGGCCCCTTCAGACATTGGTGGATAGAAACTTCTTTTTTTTCTTTTTGCAGTGCTTGGGATTGAACCCAAGCCTCCCACATGCTAACTACACACCCTATCACTGAGCTATGCCCCCAGCCCAGTAAAAAAATTCTAAAGGATTATCTGAAGAATGCCTTTTTGTCTAGGTCAGTGATAACCAAACTTTTTAGTGAGAAGACCAATTCACTAAAAAGTAACCTGCTACCAAATTTTGTAAAAGAAACTACCGCATTTATCAGGAAATATAATATCAACAACTTTCCTTAAGCATGCTTTCATTGTTTTTCCAAGTACTAAAAGGTTTCACTATTTTGGCTGAACTTTCAGAAACTGCGTAACATCCATGCCTTGGTGTATCTGATGCAATGCACCTTTTACGAACAGTTTGGGTCAAGGCGGCTCATTGGGCTTTGCTTGACTGACCCTGGAATCCACTGAGCTGCAGTGTTTAGCCCTGAAGCCTGCAGTGTGGGCCGCTCTTCAGGCAGAGCATTCACACACACCTGTGTAACGCACCTAGCCAGGCACACTTCCTCACTCCTGTACACCCCTGTGTCCCTGCCCAGGCAACACTGCCCCCTGAGAGACCTCTACCCATTAGTTTTTCTTGTTCCCAACTCGAATATAACTGGCATCATAAATTGGGTGTGGTGTTGCACTTGGGAGGCTGAAGCAGGAGGACCTCGAGCCCAGCCTGGGCAACTCAGCGATTTAGTGAGGCTGTCTCTCAATTTAAAAAGTAAAAAAGGGCAGGGACATAGCTCAGTGCAAAGCTCCTAGGTTCAATCCTCAGGACCAAAAAAATTAAAACAACAGGAATCATAGAGTACTAACCCTACAGCCATTAAACATTTCTCTGAGAGATCCACCCGAGTTGTTGGACAGGTCAGCACCTGTGTGGTGTATATGTTTTTGGAGGTAGGGCCTCTCTGTGCTGCCCAGGTTGACCTCGGGCTCCTGGGCTCAAGTGATCCATTTGCCTCAGCCTCCCAAGTAGCAGAGAACACAGATGTGTGCCACCGCACGCACTAGGAATTCATTCTTATTCCTGCAGTAGCCCACTGTCTGAGTTCAGCACAGCTTGTCAATTTCCTAACACTGGGCATTTATATTCTGGGTTCCATTTTTTTCTTTGAAACCGGATGACCTGAAGCTACTTTGTAGTCCAAGCTGGTCTCAAACATGTATCCTCCCTCCTGCCTCAGCCTCCCAAGTGCTGGGATTACAAGAGTGCAACACCATGGCCCGACTATCTTTTGTGTGGTACTAGGAATTCAACCCAGGACTTTTGTACTGAGCTGTACTCCCAGCCCTTTTTAAAAATTTGTTTATTATTTTTTTATATTTCGTACCGGGGTTTGAACTCAGGACCTTGCAAACCCAAGCAAGGGTTCTATCACTGAGCCACATTCCAGCCCCTTAGTGCTTCTTAAGTGAGGTTTCTTTAAAACAAAAGTTTTTTTAAAAAAGCTTAAAATCACATTTAAAAAAAACAAAATAAAACAAAACAAGAGTTGGGGGCTGTCAGAATGGCTCCTAAAAGAAGATGGCAGAAAGAGCGGCTCTGTGTTCAGCAGCCAGCCCAGGCACATGTGTGGCGTGGGCTTTAAGATGCATGGCCCCAGGGAGGCCTGGACATTTGCCACAAAGGGGACGGGGCTTCCTGACGTGCACAGTGGTGCGGAGCTCAACGAAACTGTCTGGGCCAGAGAAATAAGGGATGCCACACACCGTGTCCATGAGCCTCAGTTTCCCACCTGAAGAGGAGCCATTTCCCAAACTTTGATCTCAGGACACAGTGGGAAGACAGGAGACAGTGATCAGCACTTCAGCTGTGGCAGGCAGCATGAATGCCCTAAAGGTGTTCATACGCCAAACCCCAGAACTCTGAGCATGTGCCTCACATGGCAGGGGCTTCACAGATGGAGTGAGCATGTGGGCCCTGAAACGGGGTTATCCAGGCGGGAGTGGGCTGATCACAGGAAACTTCAAACTGAGAATCTTTCCCGAATTTGGTAGGGGGGGAAATGAAAAGAGAAAAAAAGGGTCAGGGAGAAGCAGCAGTGCTGGCTCTGACGATGGAGGAAGGGGACGAGAAGCCAAGGAATAAGAGCAGCTTCTGAAGACTGGAAAAGGCCAAAACTGATTCTCCCTCAGGCTGCAGGGAGAACGGCAGCGCCATCAACACCAGGTTTCAGCCCAGTGACACGGGGGTCTGACTTCTGAACTTGTCAGATAACACCGTCGTGTGCCTCTGAGATGCTACATAACCTGTCACAGCAGCACTAGAGGACACCTGCACTAGCTGGTCTATAATGTCCCCCACCACTATCAGACTGGCAGGGAATTGGGTGTGTACCCGTTTCGCAGAGACAGCCCCTCATGCCATTATTCCACTGACTGTGGCTTGACTGGGGTAGCACTGGCCAACACCAAGCAGCACCGTGAAAACCAACCTTATGGAACTCTTTGCTGCTTTTGCCATAGTGATGCTGTCGAGGAAGGTTTCATTACACCAAAGTGTCCTCTCTGAGGCCCACATGAGGAACTGGTCCTTCACCTGGCACATCCTGGCAGGGGCTGCCATCCTGGTGCCGGCCAACTATAGCAAGGTAGACCTGAGTGCCAACTGCGCCTGCCCTCACCCTCTTGCACTGGCTGCCAGGAAGCTCAAAGCAGCAATTCTCCAGCAAAGGCATCTTGGGGCGGCAAAACCATCAGAATCACTAGAGCAGCTTTGCAGACCGCACCTGTGCACTCCAGAAACCCCAGGTCTCCCTAGAGGAAACCGCGTTCCTTCCCACCAGATGGCTGTTTTGGGGAGCCACTCTCCTGTGCAGAGGAGCAAGTGCTGGTCTGTGAGGCTGCTGGGTGAGAGGGTTAAGAGTCATGATCTCAAAAGCGGGCGGGGTGGCGCACCCCTGTGATCCCAGCACTCAGGAGGCTGAGGATCGCTGTGAGTCTGAGGCCTCCCGGGCTATGTGGTGAGTTCAAGGCTGGCCTGAACTATATGGAAAGACCCCGTCTCAAAACAAAACAAAACACAAACAAAAAACTTCATTATCTCTGCCTGGCGTGATGGTACTAGTCCTGTAATCCCAGCACTTGAGGGTCACAAATTCAAACCCTGCCTGGGCAACTCACCAACTTAGTGAAACCCTCATTCAAAATTTTTTTTTAAATTAAAAAAAATTTTTTTAATTTCAAAAAACAAGGGCTGGAATGTAGATCAATGTGAAGGCCCTGGGTTCGATCCCCAATACCACAAAAAAAAAAAGAAAGAAAGAAAGAAAGAGAGAGAGAAAGAAAGAGAGAAAGAGAAAACAGATATGGGTGTGTGGGTATTTCCACTCTCCACCTTTCCATCCTGACTTGTTCCCTTCAAGGAGTAATTTTCACGGACCACAGCGTGGGCTCTGCTCTGATTGGACACCCTAAATGCCACGTGCGGGAAACTTAATTTCCAGTTCAACAGCATTGAGAGCTGGGACCTACACCAGATGTGGTGGAACGCACCTGTAGTCCCCATTACTTGAGTCCGTAAGTCCAGGTTCAGCCCGGGGAACAGTGAGAGCCTGTCTCAGGGAAAAATGAAACAGGAGAGAGTGAGGTAGGGCCTTTGAGAAGCAGGCCAAAGGGCCCCACCCTCACAATGAGCTAGTGCTGTCACAAAAGGGCTTTCGGGCTCCAACCCCTTGTTCTTCTGCCCTCCCACCATGGAACCCTCGCTGGATGGGGTCCAAGAGGCCCCCTAAGGAAGAGGTGGGGACTTCAACTCCATCTACCAAGTAGGCTAGCTTTCTTTCTTTCTTTCATGGTACTAGGGATTGAACCCAGAGCCTTCACACTGAGCTACATCACTTTTTTTTTTTTTTGGTACCGGAGATCAAACGCAGGACCTTGCACTTGCAAGGCAGGCATGGTGCCACTGAGCTAAATCCCCGGCCCTCTTTTTTAAATTGTTTCATTTTTGAGACAAGTTCTCACTAAGTTGCTAAATTGCCCGGGCTGGGCTTACAATTTCCATCCTCCTGCCTCAGCCCCCAGCGAGCTGGGATTACAGCTGTGCACCATGAAGTCTGGCTTTCAGATGGGCTCTTAATGATACACAGCACACTGAGGTCGAGTGGCTTTGCCCAGGCCACACAAGAGCTGGAGAGAGAGCACCGGAGAGCCCCCTCCAGCACAGAGAAAGGAGGAGTCTTTTCAGCCTTGCCAGCCTGTGCCAGCCTCCAGGGCCCCCACCCTTGCCCAACCTGCCAGAATCTGTGATCCCTTGTTGGGATGGGACTGAATTCCCCAGAGCTGTAGTTCGGGACCTGGCCAGCAACTGCAGTAACCACAGCTGTGTGAGAAGACAAAGCCGAGCCATTGGAGCAGCCACACTACAAACAGAGGTGAGGTCCCAGGTGAGTCAAGCCAGGGGGAACCTCCTACCTCACCCCAAAAGTCACTGCTCCCCCGCCCTGCTTTCCCAAGCATGCAGGACCCTGGCTCCCAGCGCTGCCTCCTCAGCCCTCGGCCTTCGCCCAAGGTTCCCTACCTCAATAGCTGTCCTGGAACTAGGGACTCCCCCACCCAGGGCTCCAGAGATGTGAGATGCACCGGGGCCTGGGTGGGGCCTTGGGGCTCCCTGTTTTCCCCTTCCAGCCCCAGAGCCTCTCAAATTCCCAGAGGTGCCCTCCAGCCGGGGAGGGTGGGGCTGCTCCTGGGATCATGCAGAGTCACAGCTGCTGAGTGACGGGGCTGTGGCGGCGGCCTTCCACCACTCCGGGGCTCCCCGTCCAGCCTACCTGTCCCAGCACCTGTTCCGCCCACTTGTGATGCTCAGTAAGGGGGGGGGGGGGGCAGATGGCCGCCAGGGGCCGCGTGCTGGCACCTGTGAGCTGGGAATCGAGATTCCGGATTCCGTGTAGGGAGATGTGAGGCGGGAGAGAAAAGGGAGTCAGAAGAGGGGACACCAAGGAGGAAGAGGGCATCAAGAGGCAGAGGAGGAGTGTAAGCGTGGAGGGAGAGGGCCTGAGCGCCACGGGGTAGGAGCACCGACGGCGGGGGAGGGCGGGGGGGAGAGACCTTACCGACAGAGCCAGGGCTCTCTCCAGCCGCGCCTGCCTCCTGGTCTCCCAGCCTTCAGTCCCACCCCAAGAGCCCTCGGGGTCTCGCGGAAGGCGGCTGCGCTGGGGGAAAGTCCCGGGCAGAGGCAGGGTGGCCAAGGCGCGGTGCGGGTGCTGGCGGGGCTGGAAGGGGCTGGAAGGGAGCGGTGGGTCCAGAGCGCAAACTCGGGGCTGGAAGTCACCAGCATCTTCTCCTCTGGCTGCCAGCTCCTGTCCTACCCGAGAGGAACCTGGAGAGCTGGGTCCGGAAGCGGCCGGGGGCCTTGGACCCTAAACGTCAAGGCTGGGGGTACTGGCAGGGGCAGTGCCCACCGACTCGGGCCTCGCCACTGGAGCCGCCTGAGGGACTGCGTTTGGCCCCAACGTACCTGGGCCTCCGGAATGGGCCCCAGGTAGGCTCTGGTTCCCGGAACTCCGCACTGCAGACTTCGGGCGCCCCGAGCTCTCCGCCCGCATTCTGGGGGGCGCCTGGCCGTGGCACGTGCGCCTCCACCTGGGTCCTCCCCGCGGCTCCGAGGTCCCTGCGCCCCGAGCCGGGTCCTGCGAGAGGTGCCCCGCATCCGGGCAGAGGCCACGCAGCCCGGCTCCGGCTCCCGCTCCAAGCCAGCCGCCCCAGGCCCCACCCCTGCTCCTCGGGCCCCCTCCCTGCTCCCCGGCTCCGGCGCAGTCCGACCCTAGGGCCCGGCCTCGGCGCAGGAACCGGACCGTGGCGCCGGCCGCCGAGTGGTCTGTGCTGCTGCGCGCGCTCGCGGGGCCGGACAGGGACGCCGCGCAAGCCTGCGCAGTGGCCGCCATCCTGGTGCCGGGCGACTACAGCAGCGTGGAGCTGGGCGCCGACCTGGCCCTGCTGCGCCTCGCCTCGACAGCCAGGCTGGGCCCCGCCGTGCATCCGTCGGCCTGCCCCGCGCCGCCCACCGCTTCTTGCCCGGCGCCGCCTGCTGGGCCACCGCCTGGGTGCCGCCCAGGAGGCGGGTGAGGGGCCGGGGCGGGGCTCGGGCCTGCCTCAGGTCGGACCCGTGGGCGGTTCGGAGCCTGGAAGGGTGGAGCTCTGCTAGAGCGCTGGAAAATTCCACACCTGTTTTAATTACCTGTCCTCTCCGGAGTCCTCGGACACAACCGAATCACCCCACAGGCGCCTTTCCTGCCTCACCTTTCCTCTCTCCTTCCTCTTTTCTAGGTTTAGATCCGACTAGAGTGCCCGGCCCAGCTGTACTTCAGACCAATCATTTCACCCAGTACATTTCCTCCCCTGTAAAGTGGGGTCACCCGGGCGTGGTGGCGCACGCCTCTGGTCCCAGCACTTGGGAGGCTGAGGCAGGAGGATCACCGCGAGTTCGAGGCCAGCCTGGGCTACATAGTGAGTTTAAGGCCGCCTTGAACTACATAATGAGACCTTATGGGTAGGTTAAATGAAAAAAATCCACCTGCAACTTGTAGCACAGTGCCTAGCATCGCCATACTTAATGTGTTCTGGGCATGTTTTGTTTTGTTTTGGTACCGGGGATCGAACTCAGGACTTTGCGCTTGTGGGGCAGGCGGCAGAAACACTGAGCTGAACCTCCCGCCCTGTTCTGGGTATTTTGACCTTGAGTGATCCATGTTAAAGCGGGAAGGCCCAGCTCCTGAGAGACAGCATTCAGCAAATGTTTCTGGCCTCCTTTGCTCCCACTGCTCTTCTCCCATCCTGTTCAACTTCTCTCATCCCTGCTCCCCATCTCCTGTCTCCTCCAACTTCCCCTTGTCCATCCTGTCATTCCTTTAATATATTTTTATGAGTCAGGCATTGTGTTAGGCCTCAGAGATGCACCAGCAAACATGAAAAGTAGAAGCCCTGCGTTCTCAGTGCTCACATTCTAGTGGGTAGACAAGCAGTAAACTTAATGAATAAGCAAACACTGCAGATGTGGGGCAGAACACACACCTTTCCATTCCCATCACCCTGTGCTGCCTTTCCCTGCCACACACACATTCCACTTTCCTGCGATCAGACCCTGCCAGCGTTTGGGGATGGGGGACAAGGAAGAGGCCTCATGGGTGAGTGGGAAGTCTTCGTGGACAGGGCCAGGCCATCCTGCCAGGGGGCCGGCGGAGCAGGAGATTTCTGAGGCACTTTTATACTTCAGCAAGCTGGAGGACAGCAGAGGCCATTCTGGGCCCCAGAGATGGGCCCAAATCCCAGGCTGAGCAAAGGAGGCAGGCACAAGGGAGGCTGCATGGCCACAGTCCATGGAGAAAGCCCCAGGAGCCCCCAGGACAACCCCTAGGCTTTCTTGGTTGGCCCAGCCGTCACCTGCCCTCTCAGGACTCCGGGTTGTGGAGAAGAGCCAGTGGTCACGCCTCTCCCTACCCCTTTCTGGTCCTGAGGCTTTGTTCCCATCAAAAGCAGGGCAGTGCCAAGGCTCCGCTTTAGACTATGGATCCGTTTATTATTCTTTTTTTGTTTTTTTGGTACCGGGGATCAAACTCGGGTCCTTCTGCTTGTGAGGCAGGCAGCAGAACCACTGAGCTAAATCCCCAGCCCCTATTATTCTTGATGAGATCAGAGCTGAGGTGTAGAAACATTCCCTTGGCAGCAGCCGTGAGATTGCAGTGCCTGAGCTGGGGCAGCCATGGCAAGACTGCTAAGTCACCACTGGCTTGGGAGCTGGCTGGGCAAGGGCCACTAAGAAAGGGGTCATGCAGCATGATGGCACATGCCTATGACCCCAGCACTGGGGGCGTGGGGGCGCTAAGGCAGGAGGATCACTAAGAGTTCAAGCCCAGCCTGAACTGCAAAACAAAGCTCTGCCTCAAAAAACCAAAACCAGCCAAACAAAGGTTATGGATGCCGGGCAACTCAGTAGAAGACCACATGTCGTCCACATGGCACCTTGTGGGAAGGTAGTCATCCTCTCCGGGTCAGCAGGACTCTGTGCCAGGGCTCAGAGCCCAGGGGTTCTAGTCCCTACACACACCCTCTGTCAGCTGGGAACTCTGTGCGGTGCACAGCCATGCTCGTCATTCTTGCTGCGTACTTAACTGAGGCCTGAGATGGGGAGCTGAGAAGGTGACAGGCGGAAGCAAAAGGAGACCTGGTGAATGTGGGCCCAGGTACCCGGGGCAGCTTTCCCTGCTGTCTTTGTTACAGCGTGTGGGCCGTGGAGATAATGGGTTTTGTTTTGGCAGATCTGTACACGCACATAACACATGCAGTCGTCCCCCTCCCGGTGACAGGGGGAGAATGTGACTTCCAACCTGCTGGATATCAGATACGCCGAGTTCATGTTCCCCCAACAATTGAAGAATGACTGTAAGGAAAAATGGAGGTTAAGAATAGGAAAAATAGGGGCCAGGGATTTAGCTCAGTGGTGCTGCCACCTGCCTCACAAGCGCAAGGTCCTGAGTTCAATCCCTGGTACCAAACAAACAAACAAAAAAGAGTAGGAAAAATTTATTGAGAGCTCCTGAAAATGGGTTGCCACAGAGGCCACTTCTCTGAAATGTTTCATAGAGCAAAATCACCAAGTGGTTACAACATAGGTCAAACTATGATCAACCAAGAAGATTACAAGTACAGCGCTTAGCTAATATTGATCCAGTAGGGAAGCAGGTCACGAAGGAAGGGCGCATGGAGAGAACAAAGGCATGTTTACGAACAGAAGGGCCTTAAGATTCTCGTCACCCACCCAGCTGGACTTTCTTGGACCAGGTGATACCAATTATAGCATAATCTCAAGTTATTGCTTGTCCCTCGGGAAGGCACTCGGCCTGGTCAGTCCTCTCATCTTGAGGCCTAGCCTTCAGATGCACTTCCAGCCACAAACGTGATATCCTCGCCTTCTGCACCGACTCCCTCGAAGCCCCAGCCCTGTCTCACTGCCTAGAATGTTTCTGCCTCACTGGGTGTGAACAACACCCTCATACCTCTTTCCTCTGCCTCCTCCTTTCACATTGGGGCCTCTTCATGGCCAGGTCCAGGAGGCAGCTGGAGCAGACAAACGCAAGCCCGGGGAACTGGGTTCCCTACCTGCCTCCTGTATCTGCTCTCTGGCTCTGCCTCCAGACCCTCTGCCCCTCTCCTGGGTGCTGCAGGAAGTGGAGCTCCAGCTGCTAGGAGACGGTGCCTGTCAGTGTCTCTACAGCCGGCCTGGCCCCTTCAACCTCACTTTCCAGCTGCTGCCAGGGATGCTGTGTGCTGGCTACCCAGAGGGGCACAGAGACACCTGCCAGGTGAAGAGAGCCCCTTACCTACGAGCACCTGGCAAGGACAGATCCCTAACCCATAGGAAGCAGCTAATGAATAGCTAGATATCTCTCCGAGCCTCATCTACAAGAGGGCAAGATTGCCAATGGAATTGGGGCTGAGGGTGTACTTTAGTGGTACAGCACATGCTATCATGCATACAGCCCTCAGTGCAACCCCAAGTGTCCCAATAATAATAAATAAAAACAGTAGCCAGCCCACAAATGTCTGGGAGGCTGAGGCAGGAGGATCTCAAGTTTGAGTCTAGCCTGGGCAATTTATCAAAACCCTGTCTCAAAATAATTTGTTTTAAATGGCTATGGATAGATCTCAGTGCAAAAGCAGTAGGTGTTATCCCCTGTATTACAAAAACAATGCATTAAAAAAGAAAAAGACTGTCATGCTAGGCACATGCCTATAATCCGAACACTCGGGAGGGTGAGACAGGAGGACCACCAGGAGTTCAAGGCCAGCCTGGGCTACATAGTGAGTTCAACCCTGTCTCAAAAAAAATAAAAAATAAAAAAGAACTTCCTGCACTGATAAACCAGGAGCTCTTTAGACCCCTGAATACCCTTTGGGAGAATGACAGGGAATAAAAGAGACACAGGGGTCAGGGGCCGGGGATTTAGCTCAGTGGTGCCATGCCTACCTCGAAAGCACAAGGTCCTGATTTCAATCTCCGGTACCGCACACACACACATACACGCGCGCACACACACAAACACACACACACACCAAAAAAAAAAAAAAAACAGGGAGAGAGACACAGGCACAGTATTCAGTGTGCAGTGGGGATGGGAGGAATCGCTCTAGTGGATGGGCTTCCACGAACCCCAGGTGGGCCCCCTTTTAGTCAGCAAGGAGTGCAGGCGAGGGGGTAGAGCGCTGTCCCAGGCACAGCGACTGCAGTAACCTTAGGGTAGCAAGATGGGGACCAAGCTTAGCATCTCAAGGGAGGAGTCAAGGGCCTTCTCCACTGGGGGTCTGCAGTTTTTATCGCCCTCCCCAGGGGCTTTGTCTCAGGAGTGCTGTTTCCGGCTTTCCACATGGCCAGGATCTCTACTTCTCTGTTCTCCAGGCCAGTTAGGGCTGACCTTGGGCCTGGGGGGCCTGTCATCTGGCCCCTCATCCATCTGCGGTATCATGGGTGGTCCCTAACACTGATGGAAATGTTCTGTATCTGTACTGCCCAGTACGGGAGCTGCTAGCCACACATAGCTACTGAATACTTGAAACTGTGTCCAGTGTAAAAAAAGAACCAAAAAGGGCCGGGGATTTAGCTCAGTGGTTCTGCCGCCTGCCTCCCAAGCACAAGGTCCCGAGTTCAATTACCGGTACAATAATTAATAATAAAACATAAATAAATAACTAGAGCCTTTGCCATGAGGCCCGTATAAGCTGGTGGACCCTTGGGCTGATTCTTTGACACATACTCTATCACTATGGTGACTCGGAGGACCTCTGGTCTGCAAGGAAGACGGCCCTGGTTCCAAGCAGGAATCACTAGCTTTGGCTGTGGGCAGAGAAACCGCCCTGGGGTCTTCACGGCGGTGGCTCCCTAAGAGGCCTGGATACGGGATCAGGTTGTGGGACTGCATAACCTTTGTTCCTTTTCTCCAGCCCCATTGTGATTAAATGTGAGTTAATGGACAAAGATGTTTGTTAGTTTTGGGACACTAGATAAAAATCTGTAACAGACCTAAAGTCCCCAAGTAAACTACTCAACTCCTTGTTTGCCCAGAACTGATGTTCCGGGCACCACAATTTTTAGAACAAGCTGCAAATGTCTGCTGACCATCAATACATGACAGTCGACCACTAACCTTTGTCCCCTTTTCTTTAATTCTATATGTTAACTTCCCCCTCAACCCCCTATAAAAACAGCCTCGGACTCTGAGCTAGCTGCCTCTCTAAGCTATTTTGCTTTGGGAGTGCCGTCTGGCCAGACTAATAAAGGTCTGTTTTCCAACTTGTCCAGTGTGTTCCTTCCCGGGTGTTCTTCACTGTAGTCAGCTCCTTGGAGCGTTTGGTAAGGCTCTTGGTCTTACATTCTGAGGGCACCGCTGGGATTCCTGGGTGTGCTTCACTAGTCAGCTCCTCGGAGCGTTTGGTAAGGCTCTTGGTCTTACATTCTGAAGGCACCGCTGGGATTCCTGGGTGTGCTTCACTAGTCAGCTCCTCGGAGCGTTTGGTAAGGCCCTCGGTCTTACAAGGTGATGGGCTCGGAGCCTGGGCCTGCCTTTCCCAGTCAGCCGCAGGGGCCCGAGCCAGGCCCCCGGGAGCCCGGCGAGGAGAACTGCACCGTTGCCCTGCCAGCTGAGCGCACAGGCCCGGACGGCGATGAGCTGGGCGGGGAGGGGCTCCGCGGGGCCCACAGCAGGGGCCCCGGCCTGGCGGGCGGGTGAGGGCGGGTGCGGGTCGGCTCCGGCCCGGCGGCAAGCTTCCATCCGGTTGTCCCCGCCCCCCCGTCCCGCAGCGCGGGCACGTCCGGCGGCCGGCCCAGCGACCGGGACGCCTAGCAGGTGGGGCTGCCTCGAGGCCGCGCGCGGAGCGCCTGGCGCGCCTGGTGCTGCACAAGAACGCCTCGCCGGACGGCGCAGCTGACCTGGCGCTGCTCTGGCTGCGCGCGCCCGTGAGCCAGAGCGCGGCCCTGCGGCCCGCGTGCCTGCCCCTTCCGGAACACTATTTCCGGCCTGGGAGCTGCCGCCGCCTGACCCGCTGGTGCCGCGAGAGTGCGCGGGGCGGGGACCGCTCTGCCGCTACGCGAACTCGCCGCTTTGTCCCCGCAGAGCCAGCGCGGCGCGCAGCTGGAGGCCAACCTGCTGGGTGGCTGTTGGTGTCGCTGCCTGTACGGCCGCCAGGGGGCGCCAGTGCCGCTGGCCGGAGCCCCGCTGCTGGTGCTCTGCCCCGCCTACCAGGAGGAGGAGGGGCGGGGTGCTGCGAGGGGGGGCGCGGGGCGCATGCCGGGAGAGGGGCGGGGCCTGGAGCCCTAGGGGAGCGCTCCGCCTCCTGCTGAGCAGGTTGGGGAGAATCCACAGTGGGGCCTGACTTCTCACGTATGCGGGTGTGCCGGGTGGGACGTGAGGTCTGCATACATAAAATCGAGTCCAGGGAAGCCCCTGGCGCTCAAGCCAGTGATGTACGCACACGCTGTCCTGCTGTAGAACGACTCCCGCTGGAGCCTGCTGTGCCGGGAGCAGGGGACCTGGGTCCTAGCTGGACTCAGAGGCTTCTCCGGGGGCTGCCTCCGTCCCCGAGCCTTCTCCCCGCGGCAGGCCCATGGCCCGTGGATCAGCCGTGTGACCCGGGAAGCCTACCTGGGGGACCAGCTAGCCTGGGACCGGGGTCCCGGGGCGAGGACACTGAGCCACAGACTTGCCCCCCACAGTCAGAGCACACCAGGGGAGGGCTCCAGAGCCCCCGGGCTGCGCTAGGCGGCCTTCTCCTGTCCCTAGCCTGTGGCCTGCGGCCAGAGGCTGCTCCAGCTAGGGCGCTGTGGCCCTGGCTGGCAGAGGTACATGTGGCTGGTGACAGAGTCTGCACTAGGATCCTTGTGGCCCCAGGATGGGTCCTGGCAGCCACGCACGGTATCCTCAGGTGAGCCGCACGTTTCCTAGGCCGGAGGCTGGCGGGAAGGTTGGGAGATGGTGTGAAGGACGCTTACCACAGAGGGGTGTTCTCCTTCGGGATCCTGCAGCACAGGAAAACTGCTGTGAGACGCTCTCACTGCTGGCTTGATTTGGGGGTTTTGATTGAGGTTCTTTGAGATAGAAAGATTTGGAAGGAGGAAAGATGAAGCAGTCAGTGGCAGGACCCCTAGTTCTACCCTTTGCCCTGGCGGAGTCGGGAGGAACAAGAAGTGACCCTGGGCCTTGCTCCGACAGACCGGGCTCTACCACAGTGCCTTACGTTGAAGTCTACTTGGGCAGGCCAGGGGCCAGCCCGGTCCCGCAGAGCCACCAGCGATTCCGGTTGGTCACCAGCATCTGCCTGTCCCGGCACCTGGGACTGGGCCCCCCGGCCCTCCTGGAGCTGAGCTCCGGTCTGGAGCCCTAGCCACCAGCGCTCCTCATTTGCTTGCACCCAGGGGGTGTTCCCCCAGGGGCCAGCTGCTGGGTGCTGCGCTGGAAAGACCCTCAGAACCGAGGTGAGAGCCCGGAGTCCTGAGGATGAGGAGTAAGGAACTCCGAGTGTGGGCGACCATCTTCCCTCTCTCTAGTCCCTGTAGCTGCTCCTGTCTCCAGCTTGACCCCACGACTGTGTCGCTGCCTGCATCGAGGCAGCCTGCCTCCCAAGACCCTCTGCGTCCTCTATGCAGAGGGACAAGAGGACAGGTATGAGGTACAGGCACCTGGGTGTCCTGCCTGGGGGGAGAAGCAGTGCTGGGCAGCAGGATCCCGCAGAGACCGGGGCTGGGATCCCTGGGCGTTGGGCTCCAAGTGGGAAGTAGCAGTATCTCCTGGCTGGCTGGGCCTGGGAGAGACTGGAGCGAGGCCGCCTTTGGAGGAGACAGCAGGGTCTGGGGAAGGAGAAGGAAGGGCAGGGAAGGAGCCAGGCCAACACTGCTGGCTCTTGGCTCCAACTCTGCAGGTGGCCTCAGCCCCCCTCCTGTGCTGCCCTGAGAGGGCTCCTGAGTCCCCACGGCCTAAGACCTCCGAGGGAGCCAGGGCTGCTCACAGCCATGGGCCCTGAAGAGGCCTGGGTCTCCCAAACAGTGGGGGAGGCCCGCCTCCTGCCCCTAGCGCCACACCCTCCTGGCCCGTGAGGGCAGTGACCTGTGCCCCCAGAGCTGGCAGGCACCTCAGGCACCCCAAGCTGCTGCTCTGTTTGTCCTGTTACTGCTTCCCCTGACCCAGGGCTAGTGTGCCGCCGGGGGGGGGGGGGCGCCCGGCGCTGAGACAGCAGGGCAGGAATGTGGCCGGACCAGCTGGCTCCAGGCCTGTGGAGCGTCCCATCCACCTAGTGCCTCTCCTAGACTGCAGTGCTTCCAGTGACTGGGCCTCCGTGCGGGCTATTTTGGGCCCAGGAATCCTTGGGGGTGGCGAAGCAGACAATAAAGGTGTAAACACAGACACGTGGCCCCCTGGCATCTCTGGGGCAGGCTTCGGGAAGCCCAAGGGGTAGGGCCCTCCCTTGTGGGGCAGTGAGTCAGGCCTTGGGCTCCCCGGAAATGTGTCCCAGATAACGTGGCAGCTCTGTTCTCTGGTTCCTGCCCTAGGGCGGGGGAGGCGAGGGACCAGGTGGCTGTGTGTCACCTGCAGTGGACTTGGTGTTCCAGCACCTGTTGCATGCTTCAGCCCCAGCTCATGCCCTGGTGCCCCTCCCACTGCAGCAGGAAGGACTTGGGGTGAGAGCCAGCCCCCAAATGTGCATCCCACGAGTGGTCCCCCAGAGTCCCCAGCAAGCACACAGGACCCTCAACCTGTGAGGGGCTGCCACTTGTACATCCACCTGCTGCCTCCAGGGTTTGGGTCCTTTGCCTGGAAATCCCGCTGCCTTCCCCATCACGGACCTGTGTACCGCCCTGCATTAAACCACTGGGGCACAGAGCAGTCGCAGTCTCACTGTAACTAGAGTGCCCCCCATGGGAAACCCTGACCCGCCAGCTAGGGATCAGGAAAGGGTCACAGGGGAGCGGAGGTGTGAGCACAGAAAATGGGCAGATGATTGGACAGGGGTGGACGCCGGCCGTTTTGAGTGGTAGAGGAGCCTGCTGCTTCTGGAGCTGGGCAGAAGTCTCTGGGTCCAGAGGCACCAGTGGGAGGAAGCCAGGAGGGAAACATGGCACAGGGGTGAGAAGGGCAGAGGCCCTTAAAGGGCCAGCCTGATCTTCAGCTCCCAGACATTTACACAGAGCACCTGACCTTCCACAGGGAAGCACATGGCGCTCTGCACACCAGCCGGCCACCTGGTGCCACACCACAAACAGAGGGCATGCCCGCTTCTCCCAAGCCGCCCCTCCCACCGAAGACACCCTCCTGAGCCAGCCCCTTCCAGTGGCCCACTCTAGGGCCTCCTGACCTCCAGTCCAGGCCTGGAGTCCTGGCTCCAAGGTCCTGAGTCCCAGTCTTCTGGAAAGAGGGTGGGGAAGAAAGGTCTTATTTTTCCTCAACCTTGAGCCCAACACATTCCATGGCCAGATTCACACTTGCAGAGGACGCATCTGGCCCTCGCCAAGTCAGAGGCCTTCTGTCCCCAAGACCCTGCTATCCGCACCCTCCACCCAAGACCATTCCCAGCTCTGCCTGGTTAACACCTGTTAGCCAGGTGTGGTGCTGCACACCTGTGATCCCAACACTCTTGGGATCTGAGGCAGGCTGATTGCAAGTTAGAGCCCAGCCTGGACAGCTCAGCGACTTAGGGAGGCCTGTCTCGAAAGATTAAAGAAGGGCCAGAGGCTGGGGACTTAGCTCAGTGGTGCCTCTGCCTGCCTCGCAAGCACAAAGACCGGAGTTCAATCTCCAGTACCAAAAAAAGTGGGGGTGGGGGCTCAGGGATATAGCTCAGTGTGAAGGCCCTGGGTTCAATCCCCAATACCACAAAAACAGTCCCGTTCTTGAGGCGCTTCCTTGAGGGTCTCCCAGCGTCTAGGCACTTGCACCAGAACCCTCCTTGTCCTAGTTTGAGTCCTAGTTTGAAATAATTCCATAATTGGCTGTGAGTCTTTTATCTTTTGAGGCAAGGTCTCACTATGTAGTTGAAAGTGTCCTTGAACTCACTAGGTAGCCCAGGCTGGCCTCAAACTTGCGCAATCACGTTCACCACCATCCTGGTGGCTGTGATTGTGTGATTCGGGTCTGGTATCCCTTCTCAGGGAAGGCATGGATGGAGTCCATTCTGTACCCTGTGCCTGGGATCCCATGGGGGCGCAGTAAATCCTGAGGCCCTGCCAGCCACACTCCACCTGCGGTGCAGGCCCAGACTTCACAGGAAGGTGTGGAATGGCACTGGCCTCCTCGCCCCCAGGGCCCTGGGCTCAGCTACCGGCATGAGGAGGGGGCAAAGAACAGCGGGCCCCAAGACAACAAAGGCAGGGCAGCTCCTGGCAGGCATAGCTGGCCTGGGGCCCTGAAGACCTGGGGTAGCTGGCTGGCCTCGGGTTTCCAGACTGCCTGGGGCTGCGGCTGCTCTCTGGCTGGCCTTCGCCCCACTCCCCCGGGACCTGGGAGGACTTCAGACTTAGGAGGCTAGGAGAGGCTGTAGAGTGGAGCCAGGAGGGCGGGGCTGAGGGAGGAGCAGGCAGGTAAGTGCCCTTCTCTCAGCAGCTGCCACTCTTACCCGGAACATACGTCCACAAGCGTCTCCCACGGTGGCCGCTCCCAGCCTCAGAAGCCAGCCTAGGACACCCGCTCTACCTTCCTGGCAGGAATTTGGGGCTTCCTTACCTCTGAGCCAACACCTGGACCCTGCCTCAAAACCAGGCCTAGGACTGATCTTCCCTTTGTGCCTGGTCTGCCCCAGTGGCTGTTGTTCTGGGCCATGGCCCACAGGTGGGGCTTGGGGCCTGGGCAGCTGCAAGCTGTGAGCATTTTACTCCTCCTTGGACTAATCCGGTTGGGAATGGGTGAGTACCTATGAACAGGTGGGGGAATTTGGGGACGGGTCATGCAGTAGAAGGTGCAGGCATAATCCTCTGGCACCCATCCCTTATTGATTGTGAGTTGAAGAATCCCCTGGCCTTTGTAATCCCAGAAATTTGGAAGGCTGAGGCAGGAGGATTGCAAGTTTGAAGCCAGCTCAGACCACTTAGCAAGACCCTATCTCAAAATAAAAAATGGCTGGGGATGTAGCATTCTCTGGGTTCATTCCGCAGTACCAGCGGGGGAAACAAAAATCTCCTGGCCTCCCTAGCACTCAGCTTCTCTCTCTGGACACTGGCCCTCCTCTGGTGTGTGTGTGTGTGTGTGTGTGTGTGTGTGTGTGAACACTTGTGAGTAGGAAGGGTGGTTTTGGGGAGCTCAGGCTCCCTCTTACCCTTCCCTTTTTCTTTCTAGGACCTGATAGAGCTGCAGGTGAGGCTTAGTGGGGAAATGGAAGAGAGAAAGGGGAGACCTGGATCTGGAGTCCCCTGGTGGGCTCCAGCAGTGGTTGGCCCTCTGCTGGGCTCCTGCCCACCGTGTTCTCTTGCCTCCCAATTGCTCTGGAGTGGAGTGAGTAAGTGGAGCACTAGGCCTCGGCTTCATGGGTACAGACACAGGGCCATCCTGGACAGCTTCAGGAGATGGCTCAGAGTTGTAAGAGGGCTTCGAGCGTAGCACAGTGGTAGAGCACTAGGTCAGGTGCCACAGGGAAAGAAAAGGGGGTGCAGGAAAGCAGACTCCAAGGGCACGCAGCCAGGAAACGGGGCCAGGGGACTTAGGCTGCATCTGACTCCCCAGTGCAGTGCCCGAGGTCTCTTTGAGGGAAATAAGCCCAGGGCTTCTCCTTTGCAGGCACAGCACAGGGGCTGGGTTGCCATTTACAGGCCACGTCCCTCACTTCCCAAGCCCCAGCGTCTTCACTTCTAAAATCCAGTTGATTCTGTCCCTCTCCTGGGGCAGTAGTGAGGATTCTGAGGCAAAGGAAGCCAGAGCCCCTTCCAGGCTGGACTGTCCCTCGGAACACTCACTAAATAGCAGCTATTGTCATGAGTGTGAGGGCTCCGGCTAGCTCGGGGTGGAGTCTGGAGGATGGTGACTGTGGCCTCTGCTGGGCCTCAGGGAGGCGCCTGGGGCTGTCCAGGAAACTGACTGCTCACCTGCTCCTCCCCTCCACCACCCCATCCTGTGCTGGGGACTGGGGGCTGGGGACTGGGAGCATCCCCAGCGAACACCCAGGCTGGTGTGGTTGAAACAGTCGTAGACAAAGAGCAGCTGTGAACCTGGGCAGTGTTACGGGAGGGAAGCAGCCCGAGACAGCAGGGCAGACACAGGCTTCAGAGGCCTGCTCTCTCATGCTCTCCACAGGCTTCCTGCTCAGTTGGACGACACAGGCTCTAATCCCCCATGCATAGAGCAAAGGGCCAGAAGGGAACAAGTGCACAGCCAGAGGGTGGCTGGAATAGGAGTAGAGCCACAGGGTCTGGAATGTGTCTTAGGTTGTTGTGTAGCAATGGCAGGGTGTATCAAGTGGACTGGATGGAAGGCAGGAAGGAGGCTGTCACGGGACTCACTTAGGTCAGGAGCAGTGGACCACTAGGGGCAGAGACGTCTACGCCCAGTGAGCCAAGAATGGGGCAAAGGGGAGGCAGTCAACCCACTTCCCCAGCTTTGAACCAGGAATCTGGGACATGGCAGGACGGCAGGATTAGGACCTGTGTGTGGCCCAAAAGACCTGACTGAGCCCTTTTCTTCCCGAGCAGCCCTCTGCGGTACAGTCTTCCAGCCCCGAATCACGGGTGGCAGTGACTCAGCTGCTGGTCAGTGGCCCTGGCAGGTCAGCATCACCTACAATGGCATCCACGTGTGTGGTGGGTCTCTCGTGTCTGCTCAGTGGGTGCTGTCGGCTGCTCACTGCTTCCCCAGGTACCAGCGGGGTGAGGGGCAGGGAGGGAGTCCAAAGTAGGCTGGAGGTCAAGGTTTATAGGTCAGAGGTTGGGGTTTAAGAGTATCAACAAGGGGCCCGGGGATTTAGCTCAGTGGTTTTGCCGCCTGCTGCGCAAGCGCAGGGACCCGAGTTCAATCCCTGGTACCAAAAAAAAAAAAAAAAAAAAGAGTATCAACAAGGTAGGCTGGGATTTAGCTCATTGGTTTTGCCACCTGCTGCGCAAGTGCAAGGACCCAAGTTCAATCCCCGGCACCAAAAAAAAAAAAAAAGAATATCAACAAGGTAAAAGAAAAACAAAGTATCAGCAAAGTAAATCAAGTATGGTAGCACATACCTGCAATCCTAGCACTCTGGGAGGCTGAGGCAGGACTGAAAATTCCAGCCAAGCCTTGGGTAACTCAGTAAGACCCTGACTCAAAACAAAAATTAAAAAGTAAAAAAACTCGGGTGGGGATGCAGCTCAGTGCAAAGGCCCTGGGTTCAATGCCCCGTATCTCTCTCTCTCACACACACACACAAAGACAGAGCAAGTCTGAAAGGACTACAGAGAAGTGAAGGTCAGAGGTTGGAGAGGAGGTCACAGGATAAAACTAGGCCTTGAGCTGAGCCAGGCATGGTGGTGCAGACCTGTGATCCCAGCACTGGGGAGGCTGAGGCAGGAGGATCACCAGGGCCAGCCTGGGCTACACAGTGAGTTCGAGGCCAGCCTGAACCACATCCAAGAGCCTGTCTCAAAACAAAACAAAACTAGGCCTCAAAGGCGCCATCTGGGATCTGTGTGCCCTAAGGCAGCAGTGGTCCCAGCCTTCAACCCTCTGCCTCCAGAGACTACTCTAAGGAATCCTACGAGGTAAGGCTGGGAGCCCACCAGCTGGACTCTGTCACCAGCAGCGACAAGGTCCTCACCTTGGCCGAGATCATTGTCCACCCCAGCTACCGGGACGAGGGCTCAGAGGGCGACATTGCACTGCTCCAGCTCAGCAGCGCTGCCTCTTTCTCCCGCTCGGTCAGGCCCATCTGCCTCCCTGCAGCCAACGCTTCCTTCCCCAACGGCCTCAAGTGCACGGTTACTGGCTGGGGCCACGTGGCCCCCTCAGGTGAGGGCAATGGCGCTCAGCAGCGTGCAGGGGGCCCTGACTCGGGGAGGCCTCTGCTAAGCACTGTTTGTCCCTGCAGTGAGCCTTTCAGCCCCGAAGGTGCTACAGCAGCTTGAGGTGCCACTGATCAGTCGTGAGACATGCAACTGCCTGTACAACACCAGCCCCAGGCCCGAGGAGCCCCACACCATCCGGCAGGACATGGTGTGTGCTGGCTACGTGGCGGGGGGCAAGGACGCCTGCCAGGTGGGCACGGGCCAGGGCAGCTGAGTGTGGCTTGGGGTGGGGTGGGGCTGACCCGAGCCTGGCACGGTCCTGACAGCTGCCGTCACTTTTCTCCTCAGGGTGACTCTGGCGGACCCCTCTCCTGCCCTGTGGAGGGTGTTTGGTACCTAGCAGGCATTGTGAGCTGGGGTGACGCCTGCGGGGCCCCCAGCAGGCCTGGTGTGTACACGCTGACTTCCAGTTATGCCTCCTGGATCCACGTCCATGCCCAAGAACTCCAGCCTCATGTGGTGCCCCAGGCCCAGGACATCCAGCCTGACAACCACCTGTGCAGTAGGAGCCTGGCCTTCGGCTCCGCCCCAGCTCAGGGCTTGCTGCAACCCATCCTGTTGCTGCCACTGAGCCTGACCCTGAGCCTCTTCTGCCCCCGGCACAAGCACTGACCCGCTCCCAGGACCCATGCATCACACCCAAGGACACACACCTGCTCCCAGGAAGGGAAGTGGCTGGCCTTTCCCGTCTCTTGTAGCTTTTGGGCCTGGAGCCCTGCTTGGCCACCCCTTCCTCCTGGGACTCTGGGGCGTCAGGCACCATCTGGATCTTTGGGCCCATTCTTCTAGATTGGCTCTTTGGAACTGTGACCCAGGGTCAAGAGTTTTATGGCCTGTGGTACTGGCCAGAACCACCTACTGCTGTCCGTGCCCTATTGGTCGGGCTCCTGTGGAGCTCCACGGCCCTAGCTATGAACACAGCCTCACTCCCACCCACTCCTGTAAGACTGGGCAGCTGCCTGGCCGACGCCTGCCCTGCCTGGTGAGCCCATCACGTGGCTCCTGCCTGCTGGGCTCGCCCACCTCTGAGACGGGAAAGACCTCAGTCTTGCCCCACGGGCCACCCCCGCCTGAGTTCTGACTCCCAGACTCCGGAGGACTGAGCCCCCACCGGGACTGAACTGGCAGCTTGGGTCAGGGGTGGGGGATAAAGGAGTAAAATGTTTTGTGCACAATTAGCTGTGTCTGAAATGGAATCAAGAATGCCAAATCGTGGCCCCTCCCTCCCACCTCTTAAGCCCTGAGCCACCAGTAGAATTTACTTTATTAAAAAATGATAAAAGAGGTCTGTACATATTTACAGCTGGGGGCAGAGGCACAGGTCTGGAAGGGGCAGAGCTCCTCACTTCTTGGACAGCTTGACTTGCTTGTGCTTGGGGGGGGCCCACTTGAGGCAGACAGAGTCCACTGTGGGAAGAGGACACAGGAGTGGCAGACTGGGCCTCGGCCCGGCCTGCTCAGGCTGGCAGCTCGCATCTGGGCCCAGCCTTGCTCGGGTTCACCCGCTGCTGAGTCCGGGGAGGGCGGGACACACGTGCAAGGTGAGTCGCTGCCCTGGTCGGACCAGTCCGGGTCCCGTGACAGGGATGAGGGGCCCTGGCTCCCTGCAGCCCCCCCCACACCTGTGATGGGCGGCTTCTTGTACTGCGCGCTCTTGAGGTGCTCCTCCACAAGTTTGGGTGTCACACAGATCACGTGCTGGCCCTTCCAGTACTTGACCATGTTGAGGGACTGCAGGGTGCTGATGATGTCATTCTGGGTGATACTGGTCATCTGGCTGCAGGAGGGGTTGGAACAGGTGCTACAGACCTCGCCCCTTCCACTCAGACCCAGGACGGCCCCCGCCAGTGGTCCTCAACGGACAGCTGCCCTGGACACAGTGGGGCTGCAGACCTCACCTCAGGTCCTTGATGGACAGCGTGCCCCGGAAGTCTCGAAGGATCTCCAGCAGGACCCATGACCAGTAGCTGCGGTAGCTGAGTTTGCCCAGGTCAGACAGTGGCTTCTCTGGGGAGCCGACGGTGCTCTCCAGCTTGGACAGCTCATAGCCTGGCAGTGACAGGCAGGGTTCCGAGGGCCGGGCCCGGCCCGGCCCAGCCCAGCCCAGCCCAGCCCAGCCTGGCCCTCCCCCCGGCCCCAGCACCACAGCTGCCGAGTTCCTGACAGGCGGGGCTACTCACTGAAGGCTATGAGAAACTTCCCGTAGCCCCGCCGCTGGTAGGGGGGCAGCGTGAGAATGCAGGCCACATTGTTTCCATCTGGAGACTCCTTTTCCTGAAGGGGTGGGTGCTCAGGACCTTGGGAGGCTCAGCCCTACTCCAGAGCACACCCCTCACCTCCCCAGCCTGGTCTCCCTGACCCAGCACCTTGGAGAAGTAGCCCACAATGTGGGCCCCTTGCCTGTCCACTTCCGTCAAGATGTAAAAGACGAAGGGCTCCACATCAAAGTACAATGTCTTGTGATCCAGGAAAAGCTTGGCAAGCAGACAAAGGTTCTGACAATAAATCTGAGGGGTAGGGAGGTGGAAAGAGGCTCAGAGAGCAATTGTAATGCCCCACCCAGCCTGCCCACGAGCAGCCACCCTGCTCCTCTGCAAGCACCAGGGTCCAAAGAGCAGCCAGTGCCTGGCCAGTGGGAAGTGGGACCCTCATCAGACACCAGTCTGAAGTGTCAACTTCTTTTTTTTTTTTTTTCGGTACCGGGGATCGAACTCAGGTCCTGCGCTTGCGAAGCAGGCGCAGGCGGCGGAACCATTGAGCTAAATCCCTGGCCCTGAAGCGTCAACTTCTGATGGATGAGAAAGCTGACAATCAGAGCCATTGGCACTCAACAAGGTAATGACAAGAGTTGGATTAATCATGGCTATCGATTTTGAGTTCTAAATATCGGCAAGTTATTTTACATGCATAATCTGATTCCATCTTTACAGATAGACATTAACTTCTTTCAGAACAGGAAGCTGAGGGCCGGCCGGGGATGTAGCTCAGTGGCGCCACCGCCTGCCTGGCAAGAGCAAGGTCCTGAGTTCAGTCCTGGTACCAAGAAGAACAGGAAGCTGAGGCTCAGGAGAAGTAAGTGGCTGGCTAAAGGTCCCCTGGCTGGTGGGTACCAGGGTGAGAATTCGCCTAGGAGTTCTGTGTTGCTCGCAGTAGCCCCAGCGCTAGCACAAGGCTCGGCAGGATGCCCACGGGAGGAGCCCTGACTCCATCTGCCCATTCAGCCACACTTCTCACTGGACCCCGCCCGTGCCCTTGCAGCACCCAGAGACCTACGCAGGCAGCGTCGAGGAGAAAGGGGCGTCTCGGTTGGCTTCGTGGCATGGACTGCGGGCATCTCTGGCTTATGAAACCCCTTCCCATCTGCTCTTTCACCTGACCTAACAATGGTGTGGGCCCAGGACTTCAAGTCCCATAGACTTAGGAGGAAGGGCAGCTCTTGGGGCAGAGCTGTCTGCCTGTGGGCTGTCTGCTGGCAGAGGGTGAGGAGGAAAGGCCCCACATCTACAGTGGGAGCCGGTTTATGCTCAGGAAGGCAGAGCAGCAGGCAAGGGCTGAGTCAGAGTAGGTATCCCCAAAGCACAAGGCTACCTGAGCCCCACCAGGGCACCAAAGATAACAAAGGCTGTCTACTAAGCACCTGCTGGATGTCAGGCACTGTGCTACACACTTAACATCTGCAGTCTCATTTATCCCACCTCCAAAACCATTAGGTAACTAATTGTGACTCTTGTCTTAAGGATGAGGAAATAGGAACAAGACAATGTTAAGTAACTTCTCTAAAATCAAGCAGGAAGTGACAGGACAATTTGAAGCCAGGAACCCTTTTTTCTTTTTTTTGGTACCGGATATCGAACTTGGGTCCTTGCGTTTGCGCAGCAGGCAGCGAAACCACTGAGCTGATCCCCAGCCCTGAAGCCAGGAACTCTTTATCTTATCTTTTTTTTTTTTTTTGGTACCGGGGATCAAACTCAGAACTCGGGACCTTGTGCTTTCGAGGCACCTGCCGGAACCACTGAGCTAAATCCCCTGCTCTTTATCTTATCTTATATTGCCTTCCAATGGCCACCAGTATTCTTGGTAAGACTTTCCCAGACTGATTCTCAAAGGCTGTTTCCACTGCTTGCCCCACTGAAGGCATTCTGCCAGGGACAAGTGATTCAGCCAGCACCACCCCAGAGCTCCTGCAGGAATCTCACACAAAGAAGTCCCCTCCCAGGCAGAAACAAACACCTTGCAGCAAAGGGAAAGAGCTAAGAGCAGCTTCAGGCAGGAAAATCTCTGCCTTGGGCTCTAGAACTACCCCAGCCTGAACCATGCTCCTCAGAATGAAGTTCTCGGGGACTGACAGGAGGGCTGGCCCAAAGCGGGCCCTCAGGGCTGTGTTACAGGCTGGACAGCCAGGCCTCTGCCTTTCAGTGGTGAGGAGCATCCAGGAGGTGCCCAGAGTCCCCACTTCCCACGGCCCTGGGCCACCAGCTCACCTTATGGTCTTTGCCGTCTACTTCATACACAGAGATGTTGCTTTTGCGGTAGATTTCCTTCCCTGGCGGCTGCCGCCATTGACACTGACCCTAGGGCAGGGTTGAGGGAGCAGGGGCTTGAGACCCTGAATCTGCATTCTCCACTAGGTGCTTCCCACCCCAGCTGTGTGGCTCAGAGCAAGTCTGCCCATTTCCTCCGCTCAATGCTTCACCTACGTCAAGCAACCTTCCTTGGCTTCTTCCTGACCAGGTCACAGAACACTAACTCCCTCATGCACTGCGCACGACTCCAAGTCGATGCCGACCTGGGTGTAGGGGACATTTGGCCATGACACTGGTTTCCCTAAAGCACACAGGTGCAGACCCCACACTTGGGGAACACCTACCATGCTACTGATGCTGCCTCTGGCCTGGTAAGCACCTCCCCTGTCCTTACCACCTGCTGGCAACAGAAGTCCCAACACTCAGGGCTATGCTCGTTTCCTCCTTTGCACTGGGACCCCAGCATCAGGCTGGCCTTGCTAAGCATGCAGTAGAGGGTAAAGAACTCAAGATCCCTGTCCCCATTCCATATGACAGAAAACTGCTAGGCATGGCACATGCCTATAATCCCAGCACAGGAGGCTGAGGCAGGAGGCTCCAAAGTCTGAGCATGGCCTGGGTAATTTAGAGACTTGGGAAGAGTCGTCTCAGGATAAAATAAAAGGGCTGGGCAAGGTGGCGCACACTGGTAATCCCAGCACGGGAGGCTGAGGCAGGAGGACCGTCCCAAGTTCAAAGCCAGCCACACAGTGAGTTCAAGGACAGCCTGAGCAGCATAATGAGACCCTGTCTCAAAAAACCAAGAGGAAGTTGAGGCCCTGAAAGGGGCAGTAGGTTAGCCAAGATTGCCCAGCCAGCAACGGCCAGGCCAGGAATCTAGATCTCCCCACCCTTGGGTTCCTGGCCGCACCGACTCTGCTGAGCCCGTCTGTCTTCCCCAGGCTCAGGCTCCATGCCCACCCTCCGCCCTGCCCAGCCAGCCTCACCAAATGGAAGCGGTAGCTCTTCTCATACTTCATGTACTTGAGACAGTATTCGCACAGCCAGAGCTTGGGCTGCTTTCCGTAGTCTTCAGGGAACGGCGAGAAGTACCAGGCATCAATCTCATAATTCCCAATGTGGATCTTGTCCACATACTTCACCTTGGTGATCTGCAGACAGATGGGGGGCGGGCACTGCAGCACTCAGCAGGGGCAGGAAGGGCAAGAACTTCCCAGTCAGGACCCCAACTCTGCTTACCGCCTCATGTTCCTTCTCCAAGGCTGCTGTGGTGGGGTCCATCTCTGCGTAAGTCTGGGCAGTTAGAGAAGTGTTCAGAGATTAACAGGATGGGTGGCCATGCTGTCCCTCCCATCTTCCAGATCTCAGCCCATAAAGGACAGTAATAACGACACAGCTCATTGCTTTACCTCATCTGAACCTCGCTGGTCCAAGCTCCTCTCCCATCTGCCCACCTACCCACACTTTTTGCCAGACGAACAGGGCTAGGGTGGAAAGGGCTTCAGCCGTATGTGGGGTGACCCGGCTCTGAAGCTGTCCGGAGCCAGATGAAACAATGGGTCTCATCTTCCAGGCCCAGAGTAAGAGCTGCTGCCCACACCCCAATGTACTTGGACTTATTCTGAGCACCAGACCTAAGCAGCTGCCTGTCCAAGGGACTGTTTGCTCCCAGAGGTGCTCCCCACTGGAACAGACCCCAGGTGTGCAGCAAGACCCCCTCATTCCTGTCCATAAGCTTACTCCTCCTCCTG